GGAAGGCCTGGCGCAATATGGTTCATGAGGTCACGAAGAGTCGGACACGACTTAACGACTGAACAACACAAGGGAAGTAAAGTTCTAGAGCAGTGTTTCTCAACCTTGGCAACTTTAAGATGTGTGGACTTCATATCTTAAAGTTGCCAAGGTTGAGAAACACTGTTCTAGAGCATATCTTCATAAACCCAAATCAAAAATCAGCAGGGACAAATAGCAAGTTTGAAAACTGGAGTGGAATGGACTGGCCTTTTTTAGTGCACAGCTGTATTTCTTCAGCTTAGACTTGATGTCACATTCAGAAGGAATGGGAAATGAAGAGTATTTTTCCTCTTTTCCTAATGCTACTGTGCTGCAGACTACCAGGTGGCAGCATTGCAGTGATAATCCATGTTATCCATTCTGCAGTGCCATTTATGAAATTTGAGAGATACCTGGAACCTCAGAATTCATTCAGTTCCACCAGTAAAGGAAATGTTGGGATTACCAGCTAAACAGTGAGTTTCAAGGGATTTTTTTTTAACTGTCAAGGTGAGATGATGATGTAGGATTTTTGGCTACTTCTGGAGGAAAATAAATTAAACGCTTATATGATGACCACCTGGCAGTATTTCCTCCTAATGTGAGAAGAAAGGAACAAAAAAGTCAAAGTAAATAAGCTGTTTCGCTATGACAAGAATGTAGCCAGCATCAGTTTGAAGGGTTTTTTCACATCATGGGAAAACTCTTCACATCCCAATTCAAGTTCATGAATATTTTTGCATTTTCATTTCATGTTCTGAAGAAGCTATCAACAATTATTCCCAGTCCTTGGTTGGGATTTTTCTATGCCTTTTCTATGAAACATAAAGAAACTTGTGGTACATATGGGAGGTGATGGTAGTGGTGGGGGTAACAAGTTTGAGATAGACCACTTGGCAGATTCTGTTAATGAAAAATTATGGAACTATTAGTGGCATATTTTGATCTCAACTTTCAGGTCTGCACCATGGAAAATTTGCAGGTGAACTAAAGAAATATCGTCCCACTGAGAGCTCTCTTATATGGTAGTTTCCACTCCCTCAACTCTTCAAAGCACTGTAAAGTCAGACTTGCAGTTGCTTTCATCCCTGGTGACATAAGAATGCTGAGACCAGGCAGGGAATACCATGAGCCAATTAGTGCTCCCTTCAGCTAACCAGTTAATGTCCCACTTCTTGAGCTATGACAGCTCCTGGAATAACAAAAACCTATTCACTTCTGCTCCACTCAGAGAGGGAAAAATAAATGCTGCTTACATAAGGAGGGAAAATCAAGATGCATAGGGTTTTTTTTTTAAGGGATTGTAAATAAACAGGATTAAGACTGGAATCAGATTGCCTGTTAAACTATTGCAGAGCTCTAAGTTCAGGTGGGAGGCAGGCTGAGGTAAGAGCTCCTGGAAAGGGGAAAATGGCCTGCCCGGAAGTGCTACAATACTTTGGGGTATGACAATTTCAGCTGTACTGCAACTGAGCTGAAAGGAAATTGGTTTGGTTGCCCAAAGAGGACAATGGCATGTGATCCCAAGGATGTACGGCCAGTGTGGCACCAAAGCCAGGATGGGAGTGCCTGAATTCCACATGAAATTATCCTGAAATCCTTATCCTCAGCTAAGGCTTTTGATCTAAGAATATAGCATCTTTCTTAATACTCACTTTGGACCTGGGAAATTCTATAACCCAGTTGTTACTTGGAGATTACCTTTCAATTGCACAAATTGCTATTATGACTGAATATTCTTTTTAAATAATTAGCAAAACAAAACTGGAAGCAACTTGCACCCCACAACTTCCTTCAATAAGTAAGTTGCTTTATGAATGTATTTCTTTAATATGTAAAGTTTTCAAAATAGTTTTATGTGGAGTCCTTGAGGTTCTCTGAGCTTGGTTGTTTTCTTGCAAATGTTTTGTTACCTGGCTGGGTAACATCTTCAGTGGTAAAATGGAGTGGGGTTTGCTCTCTGTTTATATACAGTGGCATGCCCTGCCAGTATTGGTGGGGGTGGGGGTTTTGTTTTTTATAGTTTTATGTCATATCTATTGCATTTGTAACTTAGGAAATCAGATTTCTGAAGTAGAAAGTATTCTGTACACATCCCGGTGATCCAAATCCTATGCAGAAATGTCAAGGGTACCAATTTCTTTTTTATTAGAACCTGTTCCTCCATTCAATAGCTGCTTGGACTGTGGATACTAGCAGCTGATCATGCTTAGTCTTATGTTTTTATAGCAACTTAATCTGTTCTTGGTGCTAATTTTTGAGGTCTAGGAGCAGATTTACTTACTAAGCAGTAAGTATGCTTGTCCATATGTTTTCACAGCAAAACAACTGAGAAAGTTTTTTTAAGGACAGCTGAGAATTCAGGGAAGGAGGCTGAAATAGCCCTGAAAAGGATGATCACAATCTAATCCATAAGTCCCTATAAGTACATGGTTCTGCTACTACCAGGATTAGATATCATGACAATCAACCTTTTTTGGTCAAGGAGCACATTGAAAATTAGAGAACATATCTTGGCCACTATCACAAAATGTCTGCCATGGGCGGCTCCCCCATTCAAACCATGGCTTCTATGGTGAGCGAAGGGCACTATGAACCATCCGTTTACCTCATGGCTGTTATGTAAGGTTGCTCCCAGCCACCCTCTGTCCCTCAGGATGATTGATACCACTTCAGCTCATCTTTGTTTTTTCTTTCTGCTAGGCATACTTCTAAACAAAGCACTAGACTACAGCTGCCCATTTTTAGGAATAGCTATGTGGCCTAAGAGGCATTCTTGGAAATAAAAATGAGGCTAAGGGTTGGCACTTGGCTTTGCAGCATGCTAGGTCCCATTTATTGCATTTTTAAAGAAGCGAGTGATAAAAATAAGTCAGGTGGGATAGGGAAGCTGGCACCATTAAGCAGAGGGGGTTAAAAGAGGCAAGGGGGTGGCTTTGACTGGGTCTTCATCGTGGCCCCTGGCATTAAGGGAGGTGTTAGCAAGTACACTGGTACCCACAAACACCAGACTGTTTGTTTATTAACATTTATTTGTAAAATGTCTACTCTCCTTTTCCATTAGAAACCATTCCCAAGAGTATGGGGACTACAATACACTGTCACTTGTGTGATTGTGTGTCAGTTCCACCTGCTGTCTGGGAATTTTTTTGTTGAGGGAGAAGGATCAGAGCCCTGCTCTT